GGTGATCCAAGTTCCCAAACAGAGGCTCATCTCCTGGTTAGCTCCTTGAATTGATTAGAGACTCCTCTGATTGGCTCCCTGAAGAGCATCTTACTATGTCACCACTCGTATGGAAAGGTACCATAGACATCATCTAGTCCATTCTCACCTCCCTCAGGTCATTTAACAGAGGAAGACAATGAGGCCCAGAGAGAGAGGAAATAGAAAGTTCTCTGTCATTTAAAATCCTTTAAAAGCTGGCCCCTCTCTACCTTTCCAATATTTTTATACTTTCCTCCCCCCAATCAGTCTAGGATCCAGTTACAGTCATTTGCTTGCTATTTCACATACAGAACACTACACCTCTCCACTCTGGGCCTTTTCACTGGCTGTCTCCCATGGCCGGAACACTCTCCCTCCTTGGCTCTGCCTCCTCTGCCTCCTGGCTTCCTTTAAGACCAAGCTCAATATCCACCTTCCACAGGAGGCCTTTCCTGAAACCTTCCCTCCCTCCACTGCTAGTACTTTACCTCTGAGATTGCCTTCCACTTCCACTAAATCTATTTGTATGTACCTAGTTATTGACATGTTCTCTCCTTCATTGCAATTCGTGCTCCTTGAGGGCAACAACACTGTTTTTGCCTTTTGATGTATCCCCAGCACTTGGCACAGTGTCTGACACATAGTAGGTGTTTAACAAATGTTTGTTGATTGATTTGCTGTTAAGTAGCAGAACCAGGATTTGAACCAAGGTCTTAACTCCAAATTAGAGGAAAAGAAAATTTTGAAGCCAAGTTAAGTCACAATGTAGGCTGTCTTCCTTTTTACTATGACCAATCATAGATTTAAAGATTTAATCATAGATATTAAAGCTACATTTAATCACAGATGTTAAAGCTAGAGGGGAAGGGGGACCGAGACAAGCATGTATTAAGTACCTACAATGTGCTAGGCGCTGTTCTAAGTGCCTTACAAATATCTCATTTGGTCCTTACATCAACTCCAGGAGGATCATCTAGTTCAACGTCTTCTTTTTACAGATGAGGAAACTGAGGCCCAGAAAGATGAAGTGACTTGCCCACAGTTACACAGCTAGTAAGAGGCAGAAACAGGATTTGAATTCAGATCCTCTGACTCCAAATAATGTTTGAAGTGGCTGTCATGGAAGAATAGCCTCAAGGAGCCAGATTCTCTCATAGTATGACACCTTCCCTTCCCCCCTCCACTTCTCCTTCCCTCCCTATTCAGTTCACTTCAATTCAACACACTATATGCGAAACCCTGTATATAAAAGCGACATAGCCCCTGTCCTCCAGGAATTTCTGACCCAATAGAATGGGATAAGACATGGGCACAAGTCTATATGATACAAGGACAACCAAGATGAAGGCAAAGGAGAGCTCTGTATAAAGTACTAGAAGAAGTCTAAGATGGGAGAAATCACTTTCACCTTCTGAGAGGTAGAATGAGGAGGAATCCTGGAGGATATTACATCTGAGTTAGGCCTGTGAGCAAACGAGGGGCTTCACCAAATGGAGATGATTATGGAGTTTATTCCAGGCATCAGGGGTAATGTGAGTGAAGGCATGGAGATAGGATAGGGCAGGATAAGAACACAGGACAAGAGCACAGCCCTATTTGACTAGGACATGGAATACATGGTAGGGAGTAGTTTGAAAGAATTATTCTGAGAAGGGTTCGTAGCCTTCACCAGACTGTCAAAGGGGTCCAGGATACAATAAAAGGGGATGATAGATAGGGTCCCCCAGATGTTCCTTTTGTACACGACTTTATGCTAATTGCACCAATCCCCAAACACTTCAGAGCCTTCTAAAGGAGATGTGTGATCGTTCAATGAAATTCAAGCTAATTATCCACAAGGCAAAGTAAGCAGATAAAAAAAATGCCTATTTAGTCCAAACAACGGTATACATGCTGGGTATGAGTAGGCTGCAGCAAATTATCAATGAAGAGGTGAGGAAGAGAAGCATTGTGAACATATCAGCAGATGGCTGTATGACTAGAAAAGGATTTGGGTTGGTCCCATAGTGAGGGAGGGTAACAGATGGACCAGCCACCAGCTTCATTGATATCCATGTAGTGTAAAGACATCAAGATGAAAGCTTCTAGCATATGGAGCAAACTGCCAGGGAAGGATTTATATAGAAGGTTACAGGGGCAGCTAGATGGTGCAGTGCACATAGTGCTGGGCTTGAAGTCGGGAAGACTCATCTCCTTGAGTTCAAATCTTGCCTCAGACACTTACTAGCTGTGTGACCCTGGGCAAGTCACTTCACCCTGTGGGCCTCTGTTTCCCCATCTGTAAAATGAGCTGGAGAAGGAAATGGTAAACCACTCCAGTATCTCTGCCAAGAAAACCTCAAATGAGGTCACAAAGGGTCGGTAACAACAGCAGGATAATAGATAAAGAGCTAGAAAGGACCTTAGAGGCCAGATAATTCATCCTTCTTAGAAGAATATGACCAAGAGTCCCACAGAATGGTAGCATTGTGTAGACTGTGGTCTGTGCTGGTACATGGTGCTTTTGTCCCTGGGTGGAGCGCAGCTCTCATGTCACAGGATCATAGGATTTAGAGCTAGAAGAGACTCCAAAGGCCATCTAGTCTAATGGATTCTGACAAGCCAAGCCTTCTTTACCATTTCCACCACGTCCTTGATTGAATCTAGTCCATTGCCAATCATTTCCTCCTTTCTCATAAGTGTGTCTGGTCTTCCTAAATGTTCCAAGGGCAGGGCAAATTTTTTTTCCTGTCTTTTGTTCCCATTTATAGTGACTACTACAGTTCTGGTCAGGTAGATTGCCTAATTTCTGTTGGGTCAGTGTGATATTGATGACTCTTGTTATCTAATTCTTGTGTTAGAGACTCCATCTTGGAACAGAGGCCCTTGGTACACTTTGGGGGACTTCTCAATTCTCTGGCTCATTGTCTTCTCCCAGATGACTGAAAACTTCAGTATTCAATATTCTCTTGATCAGAGTCTAGCCATTAACTTCCCTAACAAGCACATACGTTCACAAGGCTGAAATCATGGATTCATTTACAGGCCAAGGGAAACAATTAGAACTCAAATTAGAGTCCACAGAAAACGATAATACTTACCAGTGAGTAACCCTCCCCTGGGAACTGATATAGTCTCAGTAACTTACAGCACACAATGGTTGGAGCTTCCACTGCACCCCTCTCCAATGTAGCTTTGTAGTCAATGCCTCCTGTCCAGTCTATCATGGCCTCTATTCTGGCTGAGTCCCCTCCATGTCACCCCACTTGCACATTTCTTTGGCTCCCAGAAGATGGAGACCAGTGACCTTTTCTGCTTGCTCAGTCTGGTCTTAGAGACTTTACTTAGTTTCTCCTGGCAGATTTCCAGTTGTTATCTCCCACCACTCTCCTTTGCCAGGGTCTCAGCCTTGTTGTCCTTCACAATGAGACTTTTCTTCATACTTGTCTGAGCCAGAAACACAGTGACTCTCCCTCCTTTCCCCCACCCCACTCCCATATCTAACTCTAATGCAGTATTCACAAGAATCCTGCTCATGAGGATTTTGTACTGAATTTCTGCCACATTCTTTCTTTTTGGTGATGGTGAGTTCAGCCTTCAGGATCATACCTTCCTCCATGTTAAGGCTTAACTCCTTATCCATCCCTGCTAACTATGTGACTCCTTCCAGCTCCTTCTTCCTGGAGCATTAGCTAGGAAGTCTGGCTCCTGGAACAAATATAGTTGGGAGAGAAAGCTATTTTGTATGTACCTAGCTATTTAAATGTTGCTTCCCCATTAGAATGTAAGCTCCTTGAAGGCAGGGACTGTCTTTGCTTTCCTTTGTATCACTAGTTCTTGTCATAATTCCTGACACAAGCAAACACTTAATAAATGCTTGGTTACTTCCTATGTCATTATTCATCCCAGGACTGCCTGGGAACTACACTACCCCTACTCCTAGACTTAATATGGTTGGTATGAAGAAGCACCTTCCCTCTCTCTTTCAGCAGCTTTTCTCAGAAAGGCCTGAAATCCTAAAGGATTTAAGGTCAGGAAGAGTTCTGGTTACTATCCCTTAAGGATTTGTCCCTAATGTGTGCTATCTCTCTGTCCAGGGCTGCATCTGGTGTGGAGGAACAGTATCTCTCTAGTAGACCCTATCTCTTCCTACACTTTATCCTAGGACCACCAGGGAGCTGAATTTCTTTCCCTTCCTATTCCTGGGTAGAAGGCTACTTTGGGGAGAAAGCATGCCCCCTCCTTCTATCAGAACTCTGAAATAAAGTCCTAGTAGCCCTGACCTGGTTATAGCATTGCCTCTTCCTTCCATGTCGCCTTATGATTTCTTCAGTCTTGTGTCCTGGGAGGAAATCTTACACAGTCCTGTGCAGTTTTCCAAGATATTTGGAGTATAGGGAAATGGGTAGGAAAAATTGATTCTGGTATCCTCATGCCAGGATTCCACTAAAGACACCCAACAGGGGTAGAGTGATATGTGAAAAGGGCACATTGGTCTTAGGATCAAATCCTGGCCTCATTGGTTGGTAGCTGTGCGGATTTGGGCAAATAATTTTCTCTCTTGGAGCTTCAGCTTCATGTGATTCATTAATACTGTATCTCAAGGGGGTCTCCTATAATTCTCTGTTTTCAAATGGCTAAAAAAATAAGAAAATAAGCATATTGTTCAGATGAGAAAATTGAACATAAATGTTCTATTAGAACAGGAAACACAAGCTGTCAGAGCTGGAAGGTGATACAGAGAACATCTAATCCAACCATTCCATTTTACAGATGAGTCCACTGAGGCCCAGAGAGGAGAAGTGACTTACCCAGTTTCATATAGTGAGTTAGTAGCTGAGCCAGTACTAGAATCTGGGGCTCTTGGCTCCCATTAGGGCTCTTTTGACTATGCCAGGTTTACCAAAACCATGTTTAATAATCCTGACATGTCAATTTGTCCCTGTCATAGATAAAGGGTCAGGCCATTAACTGGATGATCTTCAATGGGAAAGTTTAGTTCAAGACTCTTTCCTCCTAGTTATTTTTCTCAAGGCACCTTTAACATCTTTGTTCCTCAGGGTATAAATGAGGGGGTTCAGCATAGGGGTCACAACTCCATAGAACACAGAGATAATTTTGTCCTGATCCTGGGATTCTTTTGACTGGGGTTTCACATACATGTAGATGGCTGTCCCAAAAAAAATGGTCACCACGGTCAAGTGGGAGCTACAGGTGGAGAAGGCTTTGAGCTTGGCCTCTGTGGAGCGGATCCTGAGCACAGCAATGACAATGCGGATGTAGGAGATGAGGATGAAGCTGAAAGGCAGTGGCAATGTGCACACACTGATGACTAGACCCAGGATCAGGCTCATGGGGGTGTCTGAGCAGACAAGCTTCAGCAGGGCTTGAATCTCACAGCTGAAATGGTCGATGACATTGTGCCCACAGTAACGAGCTGGAATAGCAATGATTGGCATTACAGCTAAGAGGAAAGCACTGACCCAGGTGCTCATGGCCATCTGCAGACAAACTCGATTGTTCATGAGGAGGGTGTAGCGCAATGGATTGGAAATGGCGACTAATCGGTCATAGGCCATGACAGCGAGGAGGAGACACTCTGTCATCCCAAGGAAGAGGGAGACGGTCATCTGGGCATAGCAGCTGGTGTAGGAAATGGTAGGGAAGTCTCTAAAGCCATTGGAGAGCAGGTGAGGCACAGAACTGGTGGAGTAGCAGATATCAAGGAAAGACAAGTTGCTGAGGAAAAAATACATGGGGGTGTGCAGCTGCCCATCAATTCTGACTACGAAAATGATGACACCATTACCCACCAGTGTGACTGAGTAGATCATGACCAGAGCACAGAAGAAGGCAATCTGGGCTTTGGGATGATTAGACAGACCCACCAGAATGAATTCTGTCACTTCTGTGGTATTGACACTGGTCAGGCTCTCCATTGTACTCTATAAGAGGAGAAAAAGAATATATTCGATTCAATGCCTTTCAAGTATTTGAAGGGTCAGCAAATGAAAGAGGGACCAGACTTATTCTTCTTGGCCCCAGAGAGGAACAATGGGGGTGGGGTAAGCTGTAGAGAGGCAGTCTTCCGTTAGATATCCAGAAAATCTTCCTAACACCCAGAGCCACCCGAAAGTAGAAGAAGCTACCTTGAGGGTTCCCCCCTCATTGGAGGCTGGATGATTACTTGTTGGGGATGTTGCAGAGGAGATTCTGGGTCAGATTATATGATTTTAAAATTTAATTCATCAAATCTTAGAATCTCAGGGTGTTAAGGAGCCTCAGGGGTCTACCCTTTACTTGAAACATTCATTCCCTTTGTAAGATCCCTGACAGGTAGTTATCAAATGTTTCTTCATTTAAAGACCACCAGTGGTGGGAGACTCACTACCTCATGAAGCATTCATGAACAGCTCTGATTTGTCAAAAATTCTCTCTTAAACTGAGCCAAAATCTTCCCTTCTGTAGCTTCCCTGTCTGTTCTAGTTGTACCTTTTGGAGCTGAACCAAAGAATTCTAATCTCTCTTCTATATGAAAATCCTTTAAATATTTGAACACAGAGATCAAGCCACCCTAATAAGCCTGTTCTTTCTAAGACAAACGTTCCCGTTCCTTGAATACTTCTTCTTATAGAATGATCCTAAGCCCCCTCACCATTCAGGCCACCCCCTCTGAACATGTTCAATTCAACTAGCATTTATTAAACACCTACTATACCACATCCTAGAAATTCCATGCCATTATCATCAGAACACTGGAGACATCAAGCATGTTGCCTTCATATCTCTCAGTCTTTTTTCTTGTTAACAGTCCGGATTTAGCACGGAAGATCCAGCTATACCTAGGGAAGACACTGTTTTAGCAGCTTCCTTGGTTCCTTCCGGACTCTAATTCAAGGCCCCCAGTAATAGCGGGACCAATTGCTCTTGTCACACAGACTATTGCTGTAGATGGTCTTTCATTGAACTGTCTCATGGCTCATTAATAAGGTTTGTGGGTATTTTGTTGCTGTCATTCAGTCATTTTTCAGTCGTCTCCGACTCTTGGTGACCCCATTTGGGATTTTCTTGGCAAAGATACTGGAGTGATTTGTTGTGTCCTCCTCCAGTTCATTTTACAGATGAGAAAACTGAGGCAAACAAAATTAAGTGACTTGCCCAGGATCACCTAGCTAGTCTGAGGCCAGCTCTGAACTCATGAAGGTGAGTCTTCCTGTCTCCAAGCCTGGCACTCTATCCACTGAGTCACCTAGCTGGAGGTATTTCTTGTTGGTTTTTACTTGTTTAATTTTTGGTCTTGAGTGGAGAAGAGCATGGTGTAGTGGATAGTCCAGGAAGACTTAAGTTCAAGTCTTGCCTCTAACACATACTGGCTGTGTGGCCCCAGGCAAGTCACTTGAACCCTCACTGATTTTGGCAATTCTTTGAGACTACAAATCACAGAGAAAGTGCTAACTTTCATTAGTACAGAGAGATTCCTTAAGTGAGAGTTCCTTATGCCAATGAAATCCTAGGTTTAGTCCCTAACTCTACTGTGTACAGGGCCTGTACTAAAATACTGAGAAAACAATGATAAATATGATATAGAGCCTTCTCTCAAGGATTTCCAGTCTAACTGGAGGAAGGGCAGGGATGACATGAACGTAAAGAACTATTATAGAAAATAGAGTTGCAGACAAAGTGCCCGGAGAAGTATGAGGATGGAGAAATTACTTCCAGTTGGGAGTAGGATGGGTAAAAGGAAAAACAGAGATAAATTTGCCAGATTCATCTCAGTCTAAGCCTTAGTGCTTTGATAATTTCCTCCATTATCTGCTCAGGTCCCATTCCTCCTTACTTGACTGTAATCCTTTTGATCAAATGAGATAATATATGGAAAATACTTTGTAATCTAAACATTATTGTTATTATTATTATTTTCATTCTTCACTTTGGTATTCCTAGCATCAAGTACAGTGTCTTGCACATAGTAGGTGCTTAACAAGTACTTGTGGAATTGAATTGCTGAATTGAACATAGAGCATGTGAAGGGGAGTCGTATGAGAAGGCTGGAAAGGAAGGTTGGAGCCAGATTGTGGAGGGCCTTGAATGCCAGGTCAAAGAGTTTCTGCACTATTCTGGGTGCTACAGGAAGAAAGTGTGCATAACATCATCTCTTCTGTTGATCTGTTTACATTCCACTTGGAGACATATACACACAACACGACACAATGACAATTGAAAAATGACACACACTTGCTCTCTATGGGCCTCAATTTCCTCATCTGTAAAAAGAAATTAGTTGGACTAGATGAGCTCTGAGGTTCCTTCCACCTCTGATCTTCCATTCTAAGGGTACAATCCTTTAATCCAGGGAGGCAGCACAGGGCTATGGAAACATTACAAGACTGGGAATCAGAACACTTGAGCGTGGTTCCAATTCTACCAATGAGCTATGTGATTGGGAAATTCATTTCCCCTCTCTGTATCTCAGTTTCTTCACCTGTAAAATGAGAGGATTTGTGCTAGATGGTTTCTGAGTGTTATTTAGGGGCTCTCAAAGCACTCCTTAGGATGGAATGGACTCCATCTGGCAGTGGGATGCTCTCAGAACAACCACCAATATAAAAAATGCTGCTGAAGTTGTCTTTCAGAGGCCTTTTCATCATAGACTCAGCCCTTTCCAGCACACTGACTCTTTGCAAGGCTGGACTGGTACCAAGCACTGTAATAGATACCAGGGGAAAAAAACATGATGCATAACGCTCTCCCTGCTTTGTACCCTTGTTAGGGAACCCCAGAAAATGATGTGGCACCCTGCAGTGGCATACCATAGAAACTCAATCTTGTCTGACTCTCACTCTTTGAACACTAAAGACCACTCAAAGCCACAAATTTGGGCCAATCTAAGTAAATCTACTGATCTTTGGGGCAGCATGCTACAGTGGAAATGACATTGGCTTTAGAATATGGCTTCAAATCCTGCCTCTGATGCTTTGGGCAAGTAACTTAAATTGGGTCTCAGTTTCCTCATTTGTAAAATGAGAGGATTGGACTAAATAACCTCTGAGGTCCCTATTAGCTCTAGTGCTATGATCCTATGATTTTTTTCCCTTCCTTAAATATCTGGAGTCTGTTCCTCCATTACCACCACCACCCCAGGAGGGCACTGCAAATCCAGTTTTTACTTCTATCCATGGCTACAAGTGCTGAAGCAGCCTGCTTCTCTTGGCTTAACTACAACTGCTGGCCATGGTCCTGACACTAAGATCCTTAACAAATCTACGTTCATTTTTCTCTCTGTAGTCTATACTTGTCCATAAGTGCTGAAAGAAGATGAAGTTTGGGAGTGATCAGAAGTGGGTAGGCTTAGTCAGTCAAGGTTCTTTGGATAAAGTGAGTCATGACCAGAATCAAAGACTGGTCAGACATTAAAGTCTACTTGGATCAAAAAGAGAAACAAAAGGGTTCTAGTGAGAAAAACAGTCCTCAAAGTGGGGATATAAGAGTGAATCTTCTGTGGAAGCAGGGAGACTTAGATCTTGTGATTTAGCATCACTCCCTCTTTGCCCTCAATTCCCTCCCCTGTCCCCTGCTCCACCCTAGCAGGGTGTAAAGGAAAGATCCCTGGACCTCTGCTTAATAGGACCTCTGTTCAAGTCCTGACTCTATTACTTCTGAGCTCCATGATCTTGGGTAAGTCACTGAAACTGACTTTTGAGCTTTAGTATTCTCATCTGTAAAATGGGAATAATGATATTTGTTCTGTCTACTTCACAGGATTGTTGACAAGGAAAGCACCGAAGTAGGCAAGGATGAGGCTCAAGGCAGCATCAACCAAACAAATAATCAACAAGCATTTATTAAGCATCTACTATGACATTTATACCAGGTGCTGGTGATACAAAAAAAAAAAAAAAGAAATATTCACTGTCCTCAAGGAATTTGCATTTTATAAGAAGAAACAATGTAGACATATGTAAGCATAAATAGAATAAATACAAAGCAGATATGGAGTATAAATACAAATAAATGCAAAGTAAATAAAGATAAATACAAAGTAAATTAAAGAGAGAGGACACTAGCAACTGATGTGATCATATAGAAGGTAGTACTTGGACTGAAGGAATTCTATGAGACAGAGGTGAAGAGAGAGTGCCTTCTGGACAGAGGGAATGGCTAGTGCAAAGGCGTAGAAATAGAAGATGGAGTGTCACGTGTGAGAAACAGCAGAAAGCCCAGTCTGGCTGGGCCATAGAGTGGAAGAGGGGATGTATGGTGAGGCTGGAAAGGTAAGTTGGGGTCAGGTTGTGGAAGACTTTAAAATACAGAGGAACAGGAAGGGACCACTGGAGATTATTGAGTGGAGAAATAACATGGTCAGACTTGTGCTCGAGGTAAATCACTTCAATTGTTTAATGGAGGATGGACTGGATAAGGGAGACTGGAGGCTGAGGAGACCAATTAGGAGGATATTTCAATAGTTTGGATGAAAGAAGAGGAGGGCCTGAACAAGGGTGCTGCCTCTATGAGTAGTAAGAAAGGGATGGATGTGATAGATTTTGTGGACATAGAAACGAAGATTTGGCAATGGATTGGATATGTGGGGTGAGCAAGAGTGAGGAGTAGAAGTCTGAGTTGAGGTTGGGAACCTGAGAGACTGGAAATATGGCAGTGCCTTCAAAGAAATAAGGAAACATGGAAGAGGAGTGGCCAGAAGGGGAAATATAATGAGTTTTGTTTTGGACATGTTGGGTTTGAGATACCTATTGGAGAGCCAGTTTTGATTCAGGATTGGATCTTGGCTTGGGGGAGACCCACAGGGCATGCTATGAACAATGAATCAGTAGAGGAGATGGAGAAGCAGTGGTCAGATAGGTAGCTAGAGAACTAAGAAGGAGCAGGATTATGAAAACCCAGAGTGGAGAAAGTATACAGGAAGAGAAGGTGATCTACAAGG